CCTCCACCTCCACTGAACTTCGGATCTTTATTTCGCCAAATGTAAATACAGAATCTATCCCGTCAACATGTCAAGGAAAGAGTGAATTGGCCGACCTAAGGACACGAGCAAAGGACGAAGGAAGAGATTAATATCCCCGCCTGCGAAGTGCCCACCAGTGCCAGGGGCAGAAGGAGCAGGACAGGAGGAGAGGAGTGCGTCTGCGCCCGAGACCAGAAGAGCAGAAGAGCCCCGAGAGGAAGGCGTGAGTGAGGCGCAGCCAGCCAGCTCCTTCTCGCCCGTGTCTCGCTCTCCCTTCTCCTGACATCTCGGGCCTTGTCTGGGCTTGACAGGTGAGGATTCCGCTTCACAAAGACCCGGACTTCATTGCCGTAACGCGTCGTGCAAGTGCAAGTAAAGACGACGTCACTACAGTACCGGCACCCGAGTTGTATTTTTACCTGTTAACAGTGACAGTGTGACTAATTTAGACTGACCTGTCACCATAGGGGTCGACGTGCTGCATAGTCACCGCTGGGAAGTGAAATCATCTCAGGTTGATTTGACATGATAGAAACCAGGGTGTTGGAGAGTCCATTATGTAAATTGAGGTTATGTAAAAACTAATTTACATTGACCTGTCACTGGAGTGGTTAATTGTTGCTTACCCTTTAAACGGTAAGTGACAATTCGGTAAATATTCATTAGTTTGTGGTTGGAAGGTTCTTTATTCTCATGGTCACATGACTTCCTGCCAGTTGCATGTCCATTATTTGTTTTCTGCATAAGAGAGAAGACTTTGTTTTGTGAGGAGAAAAAATCAATAAGTATGTTATAAACAGTCATGAAAAATGTAGGAAAACACATAGTGTAATTTTATTTAATTTGCCACCAATCACCACAAGATAAAATGTACATAGGAAGGTAGATCAGTGAATTCTAGGATATATTATGAGTATCCATGTCATAGCGTGAATTCTGAATTCTCAAAATACTATGATATAGACGCAGTGGTTCCACAGCAGGTTGTTACTCGCAATTTGTGACAGAAATGTCATTGATGGTCTATCAGTTCTATTGTCAGTGATGGTCATCACATATCTAGTGTATTATCACCTCTTTTAGTAAAAAAAAAAAATTGTAGTGTAAAGAGTATTATATTACATGTCTTAGGGCATTATTCTGATACATTGTGTGGTTAGGCCACATAGGAGTCAGAAACTTTAAAAAAAAAACAAAGACACCACTTTGCTTTTTTCTGTACTTTAGATAGTAATTCTTTAAAGTTCGGATGTACTTGCCAGAGATTAGGTCACAAACTCCATGTCACAGAATTTATTCAACACTCTGAGCTGCAATGACAGGGTGTAGCCCTATGGGCCATAACCCAACCCCCCCCAGCAAACATTGCCTTCACTTCAGTATGCATCGAGTAAACTTGGGCTCTGAACGACACTTTCTGTGATCTTTTTCCATTATTTGTGGTGGTATTGTTTGAGTCTACAGATTGATTGACAGCTATTATTTTTTGTCCTCTACAAGAATTTCATCTTCATTTTGCCCAAGCTTAGTGCATCCACACTGTAAAGACTAACACTTTAGATGAGGTGGGTGTGTATGGGCAGGCAATGAACTAGGCAAATAGTAGAGAACAAGGAAACATGATTTTGTACAACAGGAAGTGCATCTCATACTGAAAATATCTGATGTATCAAACAGCGGAAAGACAAAGTTCAAGATAGGTGTGAGGGTGGGAATGAGGTACTGAAAGAATAAAAATGGCAAAGAGGTTAATATTGTCTCTTTCAGATGCTAGAAAGGATTTTCAATATTTTTTCTTTCAATTCTCCTATTCCTATTTTATATTTTTTAAGCTGATACTACAGAAAACAACTATTCCAGGATGGCAACATTACATGCCAAATCTATTGTGACTTTAGGTGGCTCCGCAAGATCTTAGTCACAAAGAACTTAATTACTAGCTGTCCCTTATATCACATTTATACATTTCCTTAATTCTAGGGGGGGAAAATCTTATTCCTATTAATAATTATCTGAAAGTGACTAACAAAAATAACAGTAATAATATTAATGACACTAAGATAAGAAAAGATAAGAATGGTGATATTAATTGAAGTCAGGTAGACCTCCTAATTGAATCCATGGTGACTAAGCACTTGTGAAATTATTTATGTGGAAACAAAATTCATAAAATGAAAAATACAGTTAACAATATAATTTTTTTTCATGTGTTACCAAATGCATATGTAATTTTTCTTATAAATTAACTTGTGTTATTACGGGTTTATAATAAGCAGCTTGTTTTTTTTCCCCCCATTATTTCAGTCACAAAACAAAGATGCTTCGCTCGTTGTACGCTTACAAGGGAACTCATGCCCGCACACTTGGGTTCCAAGTGGGTGACAAGTTCATGGAGATTGGACCTTCGAGAGATCCCAACTGGCTGCACGTGATCAACGAACGAGGATCTGTGGGATATGTACCCAAGAATTACATATCTGCAGATGAGGTAAAGGATGAGAAAGTTTGTCGAAAATTGTAAAAAAAAAAAAGACCTTGATTGTTATGTATTTTGTGGATGTCTTGGGATTAGGACAAACGTTTCGTGAAATTGTTCTAATCGGGTAAGTAGGTCACCCTCTTTCTCGCTATCTGTATCCTAAAATTTTGAGTCTGTCCGTAGTCATAACATGGTGAATAGTTGGCCTTGAATGCGTTTTGGGTTTTTTGGTTTCCGGTTCTTGCTTCTTATTATTCGCTTTTAATAAACTTACTTGCTGAAGAAATACTTCTTTTTTTTTAATGTGATCTCTTTTATTTCCACTTTGCAAAGTTTATTAATTGGTTTGTTATGATTTTATTCTTGCTCTTAGACTTTCTAGACCAAAATGTCTTGTAAAGATATACATGCTTATAATTTTTTAACAATCTGGGTATCTTGCTTTGCTGGAAAAAAATTATTTCAACTCACAAGTAGGGGTTTATCTTTCATGTGTTCTTTTTCCGTTTAACTCATTTTTTTCTTTTGTTTTTTTCCTTATCTTCCTTGTTCTCAAATCCTGTCCCGAGCAGAGTTATGTACGAGGGCAACCTTGCCAGCAAGAAGACCCTACACAGGAATCAGAGGTAATATGTGATTAGATATGAATTTTGTCATAATGTAAACTTAAATTTTGGGAAAAGTTTATTATTATTATTATTATTATTGTAATTATTATTATTATTATTATTATTATTATTATTATTATTACTATTATTATTACTTTTATGATGATGATGATGATGATTATTATTATTGTTATTGTTATTGTTATCATTATTATTATTATTATTATTATTGTAATTATTATTATTATTATTATTATTATTATTATTATTATTATTATTATTTCAAGAAAAGTATATTATTGTTATTATTATTATTATTATTATTATTATTATTATTATTATTAGTGTTAGTATGTGTATAATTATTATTATTATTATTGATATTATATTTTATCATCATTATTATTATTATTATTGTTATTATTATTATTATTATTATCATTATTATTATTACTATTATTTTTTTTCTCTACAAATACAATCAAGGTTATCAGTAATTTTAAAGTGTATCTGCAAAAAATAACTGTTGGCATTGACATCAGTGACTTTTGTATTAATGTTGTGTAACTTATTACCGCAAAAAGAATATGAAGGAAAGTAGATGACTGGAGTACCTAAGGTTCACCTTCATTAACAACTAATTAGCCCTATGCTTATTTCTGCACCATGACAGATTCTTTAGGGCTCACATGGATTATGCTTTTGTGTTTGTACTACAATATTGCTTGCAGATTTTTTTACACTTCCATGTATTTTCTTAAAGCCAAAGAGATACCCATCCTAAAAAAAGAAAAAAAAAATCAAACTAGCCTCATTAAAGTTATTATTAATTTTCAGGCTCCGCCCATTGACATACTCGAGTTCATTGATGGTTGCATTGAAGCCATACATTTGAATGCGAGTGAACGAGGAGGCAACTACACTCGTGGCGAGCACGATGCCCTCCATAAGCTTGTAGAATTGAGGCAGGATTGGTACACCAAATGTCCTCCTTCCTCCCATCCCACCAAGCGTCCTGCTCCTCCTCCGCCACAAGTGAGTGTATTTTGTGATTATATTATAACAGGAGGATTTCAAAACACGTAGATACTTCTAAAATTTTTGTAGCAAGAATTTAACACGAGTATTTCAAAATGCATAAATATTTCTAAAATTTGAGTAACAAGAATTTAAGAAGAGTATTTCAAAATGCATAAACACTTCTAAAATTTTAGTAACCAGACCATTTAAGGTATTGACGCTCATGGCTCAAAGTTCTGAAGTGAGCATCTTTAAGCTGACTACAACACCTTTCAGATATTCAGTGCAGTGCAGTAGTAAATGTATTGTCATTTGCCCAAAAAGCATTATCATTTCCATGAATGTTAATGTCTAATTATGGATGCATGTATTAACTCAATGGCGCCGGGTGTACAAAACAAAAAAAAACTCTACGCTTAAACAAACAAAGGCGACTTTGAGCGCGTGAGTAGGGGACATCAGCCCGAATCACTGGCTCGCCGCGCATTGGCGCGCCGCTGGCTCGTTCGGCTGCACGCCAGCTTTCGAGCGCTTTGTTTACATGCCGATCGGCATCACCCGGCACCAAGGGGTTAAGCATCCAAGTGGCTGTATTTAATTCAAGGACATTCTATACAGATTTATTCATTAGTTATTATTAGTATAATAGAAATTCAAAAGTATCTATGTCTAATGAAATACTCCTGCATATTGATTTTTGAATGCAGTACTTTCATTATTCCCAGCCTTCACATTCTTATGAATGTCAATGGTAATTTCCATTGTATTATAGTTTATTCAGCTCTGGATATCTTCTGTAAATATAAAATTCTCATCAAGCATTAACAGAAGCTATAAAGAGGGTCCCTTTCTTTCCTACAATAAATTTGCAGCGTACAACATCTCAGCTCAGTGTGGATAGTGTTGGCAGCCTACCATCCCCGTGTCTCCCTGGAACTCCACGCAGCCCTTCAATATCAGCAAGTGGGTCGTCAATTAGCTTAGGGCCCCCACCTAAGGAAGCAACGCCGACAGAAACTTCTGCCGAAACCACGACCAGCTTCATGGCTCGAGGAGAATCTCTCGGTACTAGATTCTGCGTGGTTTTATGATCTTCTTTTCTTCTCTTTTTTACTTACTGGATATAAATTGGGAGATTGGTGTATTACATTATTAGTATGGATGATTTCACTGCTTCTGTATTGTATTTTTTGCTAAAATTACCCATTTTTTATATGTCCTCCATTGTTTTACCCAGTCACAGTGTCAGAGTTTTCCATCAGACTTGTACTAAATAGAAAGGAATTTTATGTGTAAGTACAGATGTATATTTTATTCATTGTAAGATATTTCCACACCTACTTCCAAATGGATATTTCAGTGATGTTGCAGAAGTATATTATTGTAAATACTCTTTTCAGTCTACTGATAATAGAGGTAAATGTAAATGTACCATTGAGAATGCATAAAGATAATGTATTGTGACAAAAAGTTGGAGCAGGTCATTGTTGCTGTTGGAAAGAACTGGTAACCAAGAGAGGGCAGACAGGGATATGAAAGGGCTGATTCCTGTTGCCTTCAGTTTTAGTGAAAGACTTTCCTGCGAATCTGTATTCATTTTAAACGCTAATTGAAACATCACTTGGTTATTTAACATGTTTCGAACTTGTGTTTTGTAGTTCGAGATGAGAGCAGCGGAAGCAGCGAAGGTCATGATACAAGTATAGGTTATGAATCTGAAATGAGAAGTGATGTAGATTCAGTGGTCCAGACAAGCATCAAGTAAGTATATTTTATGTTTTCTGAAATTCTTCTACGATTATTTGACCTTAGTGTGAAAGGATTAAGATCAAATGATTTTTAAAAATACAGGGAGGCTGAAAGAAAATGCATCTCTATCTAATTTACTTTTAGGTCGCTTGTGTCTCAAGTGCCAAAGGAATATCTTCGCACATTGGTGGAAGAGGTGCGCAGCAGCACTAGTATAAGCTACACTACTAGTCATCAGGTACTAAATGTTTATTTCTGTAAATTATTTTTTTTTTAAGGGATGGTATAGGGTGATTTGATAGGTTTTATGCAAACAAAAGTTATTCCCAAGTAGTTTGTAATAGCTGAATTACCCATTTTGATTATCATATGGTTTAAAAAAGCTATACTGTTGCCTACTTTCTTTTTAGATCATGAAAATTTTAACCAGTAAGATTTGAATTGTATACTGGCTGACTCAACTGGACTCTTGAGTATTATTATGGTCCTCAAATATTTAATTTCAGAACAGCCATCATAATTTTAAAATGCTTTCATCACATTAAGTTTACATTGTATCCTCACAATAGATCCATGAATTTGTATGGCAGATGGTACAGGTGTTTTGCCTGTTAATAAGAAGTTAAAAAAAAAATCTATTAAGGTTTACATTGCATTAATCCTCCTTTTTGTTACTTTCTTTATTCTTATTTTGATATTACACTTTTTGGTATCATGTGGTTTGCATTACAATAATTAAATTATTTAATTTTTGTATATTTCTTTTGAGGTGTATCATCTCCAGAGTGTACTTGTTCTTTAGTTTAGTTTTCTTTGCGCAGCTTTTTCAGATTTCCACTCAAAAATATACCCAGACTTGGTCAAACTCATTTTGAAATGCAGATCATCAAGAGTTTTACAAAGTAACCCTTTAACAAACCAGCCAATATCAGTACCACCTTTTCACGCTAAAGAGCTTTATTCCCAAGGACAAGACGTCTAAGACTCCCACAAGAACAACTCAGCACCGTACGACTCTCAGTTATCTGTCTACTCAAAGGGTAAAAGAGAAAGGAAATAACGTGCCAGAGTGTGAAACGTATGGCATGGAGAGCTTTGGATTTTCCCCAAGTCGCCTTCTATCCCTCCCTCAGCCATAGTGGTTATTAAATCTCAGAAATAAGTGTTATAGCTAATATGTATCTGTCGAGTGTGTATGAAGCTCTGAATATAAACACAAGAGCTTACTGTAATTTTTGTGAATATAGACTTGTTGTAAGAGGAAAGCAAAAAAAATGTTCCATGTAGGAGATAATCATAAAATTCTTACTTCAAGAAACCAATTTAATGGATCCCACTGCATTCATGATAAACCTTTCTGAACCTTTTTCCAAAGAGATAGCTATTCAGGCTGTGTTTAGTTTATTTGTAATGTTTATTCCTATTTTTTTTTTTTTTTTCTAAACATTTCCAAGGGACAAAATGGCTTGTTGACAATTTCTTTCTCTTACAGTTACTGCATGTATAATTTTTTTGGCTTAATTTTATAACCCTTGTTTTTTATTTGAAACTAACATTGATATTATGCTTAGTATTGCTTCTTCTTTTTTATTTATTCATTTATTGTTATATTTTGTTCTATTTATTTATTTTTTTATTAATAACAATTATTCAAAAGACTTTAGATTTGAAATAGTTATATTTTTTTGCTGCTTCAGAATAGGAAAATTCAATTGTGGGCTTTTCTCACTGAATCTGTATTATAATAGAGAAACATTAATTAGCATATTAGGATATTTGTGAAGTACAGAGTTAAAGCATTGACATAACAGAATTACCTTTAGTTGCAAATTGATTTTAATTGTGTGGATTACACTAGAATTTAAAATCAAATTGAACAGGAGTTAGGAAATAAGAACAGCTCAGAGGGAACAAAAATATGTGGGATGACAAATTGAAAATTGTTTAAAAACAGAATAGTTCTTCAAGGTTTTTTATTTATTGTTATATTTTGTTCTATTTATTTATTTTTTTATTAATAACAATTATTCAAAAGACTTTAGATTTGAAATAGTTATATTTTTTTGCTGCTTCAGAATAGGAAAATTCAATTGTGGGCTTTTCTCACTGAATCTGTATTATAATAGAGAAACATTAATTAGCATATTAGGATATTTGTGAAGTACAGAGTTAAAGCATTGACATAACAGAATTACCTTTAGTTGCAAATTGATTTTAATTGTGTGGATTACACTAGAATTTAAAATCAAATTGAACAGGAGTTAGGAAATAAGAACAGCTCAGAGGGAACAAAAATATGTGGAATGACAAATTGAAAATTGTTTAAAAACAGAATAGTTCTTCAAGGTGTTGGTGAGAGCAGGATTTTTTTCCTTGCTGACTTACAGTTCTATTCAACAGGTAGTCGAAGTGGTGCTGAATTCGTTAGCTACAGCCTTACCTGTTCTCCAACCACTGTGCTTACACATCCTATCAAGCAAAGGAGGTTAGTCTTTTTTTTATCTTAAAATGTGGAGTTATATACATTATAATGAAGGAGACTTCAGAAGAAATTCTCATGAAGGTGATCTAACTGCATTATGTCACTTAATTATGAAATATGAAAATCCCAAGTAATGAAGAATATTAATACGTACTATACTTCCTTACCAGATCAAGTGGATGGAGGCGCTGACAAATGGCAACAGAGTTCAGATGGCCGACGCCTGGTGGAACTTCTGGAGAAGCTGCGAGAGTGCAAGGATGATGAACAACAGCGTTCTTGGGCATTGCACGAAGATGAGCACACCATCACTACTCATCTGTCCGATCTCCTGGATTTGTTGGTGAGTTCGGCGGTGGAATTAGATTATGAAAGGTCGAAATAGATTATGGAGGAGGTCTTGAGAGTATAGAGAAACTGAAAAAAAATCTGGGTATGTTCAAGAAGAAGGAAAGAGATATCCTTCAGTATATTCATTGAGTATATGATGACAAATTATGTGCAAAAATAGTCTTTGTAGGGTATTTACTATCAAATATAGCTAAAATTTATTAATGCATTTAAAAGGTTGCAGTCTAATGAGATCATATAGGATGATTTGAAAGAAAAGTCATGCCACTTTTCAGATGAAGCTGTTTACTCCTCTAAAAAGAGAATTGCAAGACATTAACAAAAAGATTTGTGAAATGACTGTTAGGCTTGAAGGCATGAGAGTATGACTGCATGTCTCATTTTCAGAACACTGGAGACCTGATGGTGTGTCGGAGTGTTTTGTCCCTGGACGATTTTAGACCTTTGTTGACCCTGGTGCAGTACTACCAGATGGAAACAAGGTGGCCTCTTCGGAAACTCCTGCTGCAGGTAAGCATATTGGTATTCAAGTAGTTAGGCTTGTATGGTATTGCTATTCCAATCTGGGTCAGCTGATCATTCATGCTTTTAACACTTGCAAATGCTATTGTATAAACGAGGAGAATTCCTTGTGCCTGACATCTTCACTAAGGTTAGAATATAGAAACATATTTTCATCATGTTAGAAGGGCTGATGATAAAATGTGTTGTGGAATATAACATTTAGATTTGTTGTTGTTTGATGAAATGTGGTGCTATGTATATAGATTGTGCTGTATGTGTCTTTGTGGGAGATTAATTTTTGTTATATGTCTTATATTTTTTGTCCAATTTGTTGATTGTTTTAACAGTTCTCTCTCATGTGAAAGGCCTGAGTATTATGTGCTTTTGGTGGACAGCTACACTTTCATGTGAAGCAGATTTTAAATACAATGCAATATATGCTTTCAGGTCTTTGGTGCTGTATGTCAGATGTCGGCAGCAAATATTTCTTATCTCTCTGCTTCGGTGTTCCCAGTTGAACTTACAAGGTTAGCAGTCATTGCATGTAGTCATTTGCACAGAGATGTTGGTAATAATGTCTTTCTTCTGTCCTTTTTCATGAATTTGCACAGTAGCTCAACTTTACATGTACATGACCCACTCAACTCGACTGCATTTCTCTAGTTTTTTTTGTTGGTTCCATTAACCCATGTGATCTGGATGATATGACCATCACGTCATGGAAAAATTTAGCTTGAGGGGCAGGTGACGTGAACATGATGTCATGAGAAAATTTGCTCCGGGGCAGGGTGACACAAACTTGCAGTCATGAGCATTTTAGCTGATGAATGCTGGGGTGATAGGAAAATCCACAATTGCACAAAGCTCTTGGAGGGTGATTTGGTGTTTAGGAAGGGGCTTTTGCATTATTTCCATCAATAAATGAGTGTGGAATGTCCATGAGCTATGACTGGAGGAATGCCAGCTCCTGGGAGGGCACTATTTCCATATTCAGGATCCTGTTCGTGCTCACCATGAATGGTGGGCAGGAATAGGTTATATTCCAGAAAAACTGAATATTATGGGGGGGGTAACAGTTTACAAAATTTTATTTATTATTATTATTATTGCATTGAATTACAGACTACCTAGAGAGATGATATGTAGTCTGTGCAAGTAAAACAGTCTATTACCATCTGGATAAAGCAAATCAAATGACAAATATTCACATTAGAAAATGGCAAAAAAGCTAAAAAAGCATATACAGAAAAAAAAATAAATAACATTGCAAAGGGAGGCATGGAGTCTTGACACCGCACATGAGTGTTGGTTCATGAATGACCTACCTGCAGAGTGTCCCCTCACATAACCCTAATGACTGCCTTTGAAGCATCTGGATCCAGTGGGTTAAGAGTAATTTCTCTGAGCAACGGTGGAAGTGACACGCTTATTATCAAGTTTTGTAGTAGTCTCTCTATTTTTTAATTAAGTCATAATTCTTTGCTATATTATTTTTTTTTAGCATTTATACAATCTTTCTAGAGATCTAGAATTGTGCCTTGTAACTATAGTAAAGTTTGATCATGAATATTTTTGTTAGGAAGTCTAAAAACAATGTTTTTTAGAATATTTATTCTCAGACCAATTTCATACGAAGATGATGGTATACTGAGAAGTATTACATTTCTCACTATTATATTTTTTTTTTTCCGCAATGGCAGAGAACTACTTGACAGCACATACAACCAAGAGCGGCTGAGGTATACCTCCTTGGTGCTCGGGATGGTGCTGTGTATGGGGGATACTCTACCATACCCTCATTTCTGTAAGAACGACAAGCAAGCCTCATTTTCCTTGTCTCCTTTTATTCATTTATTGATGTATATATTTATTTATTTTTTATATATTTATTTATTTATTTTTGTGATGGATGGGCTTTTTGTTTTCAGAATTATAGTTTTTTTTTCCCATTATTAAACTGAGTTCTCTTTCTAATCCTTTTGTCATATCAAAATGCACATATTTGTAAAGTAAAGTAGATAACCAGTAGTATTGGCTTCCCTCTCCTGTTTAAGAATAGTTAAGAATTTTCTCTGGCCTAGGTGTGATGAACGAAAACTTCATGAATGTACTACTTGACGGAATAGAGCAGTACCACGAGGACCCTGACACAGAACAGTTGGCGGAGTTGTACCTGGCCATAGTCTTAGCCTTCAATCTCCAGTATACGACACTCCCGCCATCAGCAGCTAATCCGCCAAAATCTTGCGAGGCCACGGAAGAGGGGGAAGGTGAGGTTAAGAGTCAGTCCAATGGAGACCTTGAGGAAAATAAGGATTCCTCGAAGACTGCGATGGGAGCTGATTCCGAGAACATAATCATCAAGTTGTTATCGAAGAGGGAAAATACAAAGTACTTCACAGAGAAGCTTCTGCTCTTGTTCAATAGAGAAGGTATGTGTGGCAGATTTGGCCTCTTTTTTTTTTACCACAGATCTTTGAAGGTGTGTATATTAATGTGTTCAAGAATGTACTGAAACACATACATGGGGACAGAAAGTCAACACTAAATGTGTCTTTGTTGAAACATGTTCTATCTTGCGTATTTCTGTGCTGTCTCTGCAGAGGATCCATTAGCCATGTTCGACCATGAGCCCCGGCCGCCTCACTCAGTACTCAAGATGATGAGAGATATGTATTCCACAAGGGCGACTGCTTCAATCTTCTACACAAATGATGAATGCGTACTGTGTGATATTATCATAAGACAATTGTCGGACCTTCCTGCGGATGACAAGGTGAGGATACAGTATAGATTTGCACATGTTTGCTTCCTTACAGTTCCTTGTCCACTTCTTCATTTACATGTGAAATTTGATGTAAGAAGAGGCATGACAGAGCAGAATTATAGTGTTGATATGTAAATTTTCCAAGCCATTAAATTTTATATATTTTTTTTATTTTGAAGTAACTGCAACAATCACCAAAGAAAAAGGCAGATCATGAGGATTTTTCAGTTGTTCATTATTTCTTAATTGGTGTAGAGTATGCTATTTTAATTTATGAATACCAGAACAATTGGTTTGTTATTTTCTGTTAAAATTGCCATCACATTCCTTTTCCCTTTCAGCGTCGGAATGAATACTTACACCTAATGGAGGGAGTCATAGTAGCTGGGAGGTGGACAGAACACCAACATAGACGCAAAGAATTGTGCTCCAGCTGTGCCAATATACTTGCCGAGGAGGAACCAGCGGCAGAAGATGATCAGAAAATCATCAGGTCCCTCATGGAAAGTCAGCCATACTTTTTTCATGTTTGAGTGATGTAAGTACTTCAAGCATCTTGTTAGGAAGTGTTTCATAAATGAATACAGATTTGGTTATCAAGTTCTGTAAATTTTCCCTCCCTTTTCTATTTCTCTTCTTTTTTCTTCTTCTTTTTAAAAGAAAAGCAAGTGGTTTCTTTGACCACTAAGAAAGTATTTTGATTGTGATGTCCAGCGAAATAGTACGCCAAGCTTTATATTTTTTAGTCAACATAAAGAAAAATCTTCCATGAGAAATTATGTGCCAACTGTAGGATCCTGTACACTATACACTATTCAATGTATTCTAGGGCTTGAATGGGCATTAGTATGAAGTGTGATAGCCCTGTGACATGTGTGCAGCTTTCAGTGGGAGATCTTGGGAAGAGTGAGAGTCACATAGAGGAAGAACATGATAGATACCACTCGAAAAAAGGACACCAGAGCCCATTTTTGTAGTTATTATTTTTGTTATTATTATTATCGTTATTATCATTATTGTTATTATTAGTTGCCATTACTACTGGTGGCATAATTGTTGATAATATTATTATTATTATTATTATTATTATTATTATTATTATTACCATTTGTAAAGTTGTACATATCAAAAAAGAATTTTTGTATTACCTAAGATTTTGAGAAAGAAGCATTGTCACCTGCCAAACTATGGGCTTACAGGGCTTTTTTCAAATGCATAAGTTCACCTTTGAACAGATAGCATACATGATGGTGTTTCCTGTTGTGGCATAAGTTAAGAGAATGGTAAATATGAACTTGGTTTATCATAAATTGTATCTTATAAATAGTACACAGTTCATAGAAATCATTTTCCCGAGTAGTAATAATGTATTGTTTGATTTCAATAATTTGAGGCTTGATTATTATTCTGATTTGTTTGAGTATTCTCCATTGTCATTCCTTCATAAGGGCATTATGTAAGTTTACTGTATACCATTTGCTGAGTGGACAGCTGTGTTGGAAATACTCAAATCATAAGTTAAGGTTTCTACAGAGGAAGTTTGAGAAGGAAATTGGTAACTGCAAGTTCTGTGCCAGGGAAATACGCCTATAAAAGTTCTAATACACATTATATGTATATTAGTGATTGAGCAGGGGTAAATAGATGATTATTAGAGAATTTGGCTTTGACATTTGGACTTTGATATTTAAGATAAAACAAATGATTGGTGATATAAGGCTAAATTATCAGGAATGGAAGGCAGTGCTGTTTACCCCAAGTCCTAGTGGACAACAGAATGTCATTTATGTGTCTTTAGTATGGCAGTGTAGCTATTGTTATTTTCCCTGTTAGTACATTGTATTGATATATGGAATTTTTTATAGCATGTGACATACAGTAAACTTTCTAGCATAGTATATTTTTTTGCTTGCATTAGTGGAAGATGATAAGTTGTTATGTGAACTGTGTATTTAATTGACTCAAATTGATTCCTGAATTTTGATTATTCAGAAAATGACTATCATTTACAACTGAAGCTTTAACTTGATTTTGCAAAACGAGACAATATATTTAGAAGTAAGAAGACTCATGTGGATCAGTGCCTTTTATTATCAACATTTGTCAGCAGCTGATAAAAAGTCAAAGGCTGTTTAGATGAACTCCAAAACTATTTTTAAAAAGTCTAAAGGCAAGAGTTGCTTGCTGGTGTCCTGCTCAGATGCAGTGTTCAAAACGTCTTCAAAAGCTTTTGCTGACAATCAATTTGGTGGATAAATGTTGGATATCTCTTTCATTTTCCCTTCATAGGAAGATATAAATATGTAATATAGCTTTAGCAACTATAGCTTTCTCCTTAGCATGAAGGTATATGTTGAATTGTAACTAAGTTGCCATTTTTTTAGGAATAAAACATGTTGTTACCATATTTTTACAGGAAAGATTAGGATAAATGTGGCTTAGTTGAGGTCTTCAGAGTATTGTTATTACCAGAGAGCTTTTTATTTATTTTTGTTGTTTTTCATTTCTCACTATCATTTCTGTTGGAGGTTGACTATGCTCAGTGATTAAAATTACATATGCAGTAATTAATAAGAAAATCATATTAACTAGTGATTGTGGAAATAAGTGATTTCTTTCAGTCTGACAAAAGACAAGGCTGGTTGTGCATGCACAAACTCTGCATTTTTGAGGATAATAATGTGGTAATTAACAGCATTTTACAAAGACATTTTTACAGACATTTTGTAATTTACATTTTACCTAGTTCATTATGAGAGGCTTTTTTTGTCCATAAAATTTTAAGAAAAGAATGAAACATACAAAGAAAGAAAAAAAGGTATGAAAAAGTGTTGGATGTGTTAGAGACTGAATTGCAGTCTAAACTTGTCTTTAATAAAGATAGAAAGACACTAACAGCTGTACTTTGATAATAAGCCAAAAAGGAGGTAAAGATAAGAAATGGACAATATTCACAAGAGCGGCATTATTATAACGTGAAGGAGGCTGCTTTGGGGTCTCGTGATTTGTGAGTGTTATTATTACTTTTGATTTTTCGTTGTTATTAATATTGTTATTACTAATTTTAAGGTTCTGAGTTCTGTTCATTTCGTACTTTTTTTCTTTTTTTTTATGAAAGTTACATATTTTACCGTAGTCCTTTAGATAAAAATGCTTTACATTTAATTTAGGAACTAGTGCATGGTTAAAAAAAGACAACTCTAAGCTAGGTCTGCGTTCTGAGTTCCGCAATAAAGCATATTTCAGGAATTTAGCAGTTTTGAAATTTTGGCGAGCAGAGAATCTCCAGACAATTTTTCTGAAGTAGTATTTTCAAGCATATTTATATTTATTCACCAATCTTAGGGAACAAAAATTGTTATTAGTCAGATGTTAATACACTCTTTGTTGCTTTAACCCTTGTACATATATCATGCATGGAAAGATTGTTGGTTTGATATGATTAAACTTTGATTATATTGTCTATATTATAAAGTATATTTTAAGGTATTAATGATACTTATCTCACAGTTCATAGTTTGAGAAACCATCTTTGATAGTAACAGTAGTTGCACATATTATTAATATTATATTTGGTGATGATTATTTTTCCCAGTTTTCTTGATATGTTTTCTTTGCGTATATATACAGTATATGCATGCTTGCAAAAGTGCATGAGTGTGAATGTAAGGAAATTTGGTTCTGCATGGATGAAAAGGATTACGAATTTGTAATTTCTTGCTAAATATGCAAAGAGAAAATACTTAAAAATTGCAACATTTGTTACAAAGATGATTATATGACAGTTTTAATCAGCATGCATTACTATATCAAGAAGGTCATACAGTCTCCTGCCAGAAAGTGAGTTAAGAATTATGAAGAAATAAAAAATCTTACGCAAGTGACTATTAAATCCTGAAAAAAATGTCAGAAAATCGGCTCAGAGGACTTTCATTTCGACCATATACAACCGTCCTCTAACATAAACATGTATGGCAGTTTCAGCTGGTATTTGAGTTCTTTTCAACGCAGAGAGCTTCGCAATAAGCATATTTCAGGAATTTAGCAGTTTTGAAATTTTGGCGAGCAGAGAATCTCCAGACAATTTTTCTGAAGTAGTATTTTCAAGCATATTTATATTTATTCACCAATCTTAGGGAACAAAAATTGTTATTAGTCAGATGTTAATACACTCTTTGTTGCTTTAACCCTTGTACATATATCATGCATGGAAAGATTGTTGGTTTGATATGATTAAACTTTGATTATATTGTCTATATTATAAAGTATATTTTAAGGTATTAATGATACTTATCTCACAGTTCATAGTTTGAGAAACCATCTTTGATAGTAACAGTAGTTGCACATATTATTAATATTATATTTGGTGATGATTATTTTTCCCAGTTTTCTTGATATGTTTTCTTTGCGTATATATACAGTATATGCATGCTTGCAAAAGTGCATGAGTGTGAATGTAAGGAAATTTGGTTCTGCATGGATGAAAAGGATTACGAATTTGTAATTTCTTGCTAAATATGCAAAGAGAAAATACTTAAAAATTGCAACATTTGTTATCAAAGATGATTTATATGACAGTTTTAATCAGCATGCATTACTATATCAAGAAGGTCATACAGTCTCCTGCCAGAAAGTGAGTAAGAATTATGAAGAAATAAAAATCTTACGCAAGTGACTATTAAATCTGAAAAAAATGTCAGAAAATCGGCTCAGAGACTTTCTTTCGACCAATACACCGTCCTAACATAAACATGTATTGCAGTTTAGCTGGTATTGAGTTATTTTCAACGCAGAGAGTTTTGTATAACTGGAAAATATTTGCTAATACTTGCACTTATAGTATCATATAATCTGATCCAAGGAAATCTGGTTAATTGTGTATAAGTAAAATACAAATGCGATTTACAGAAGTATTTGCGCCAGTTCAAGGCATTCAGAAATTGTCCAGCAGCTTTGCTTTAGACTGATTATGCAATCTTGATAGATTTTTTTTTTTTCTGGTTTTAAGATTATCAAAAGAAGTATAAATCAGCTATTAACAACATATTATATTTGATTATTGCTTGGTGTGTTGTTAAAAGCAATCTGTAGGCGCATTGATAATGTGACATATTTGTTAACCATTTTCAGTAATTAAAAGAATATATTTTCTTATGAACATGTGATTTATTATATTCTTGATGATGTTTTTAAGAAATTAATTCAGATCTGTAACAGGGCTTTAAACATATGTGCATATAGATACAAAGTGTACAAATTACACATGTGCATACACACGTGCTCGCGCACACACACGCACACACACGCACACACACACACGCACACACACACGCACGCACGCACGCACGCACGCACACACACACACACACACACACACACACACACACACACACACACACACACACACACACACACACACACACACACACACACACACACACACACACACACATACACACATACACACACATACACACACACACACACACACACACACACACACACACACACACACACACACACACACACACACACACACACACACACATACACACATACACACACACACATACACACACACACATACACACACACTCTTATACCATCTTTTTGTGTGCTTATCTAACTGTATTGTAGGGTATGATTTGACCAGAATTTCACAGAACAGTTTGCTGCTATCAAAAAGGAAAAAAAATGGTAAAAAGATAAAGTAAAGTAAAAGAAGAAAAAGTATTTATGTATCATGGATTGGATTAATAAATAAATCCTATTTTCATTCTATATGCATATCCCTATTAATGATTTTCAGTTTTTGGACAGATTGGTATATTAATAAGTGTATGAGTGTGTGTTTGTGAGTCAGCATTTTTAGTAACCAGCCCTTCTGTAATGCTATCTTTGCACTTTGCAGAAATCATTAAAAAACAAGCTGGATTTTTTCTTCCAAATCTTTAGTATAGTTATCTACACATACCCACATACACACAGGCTTACAAACACACACACACACACACACACGCACACGCACACGCACACACACACACACACACACACACACACACACACACACACACACACACACACACACACACACACACACACACGCACACACAAAGGCATGTGCTTAAACACATATGCATACACCCCCCCCCCATTCATGTCCACATATTTCATAATTTCCCAGAATAATAGTACTAATTAGACCATTGTGAGAATTTGGATATTATGTAGCATACTACATTTTGCACCAGAATATCATTTAATTTGCATGCTTAGTAAATTATCATTATTCTTCAGATTTGAAAAGTAAGGAAAGTTGCATGAACAGTTGCCTCAAAAAGTCACCATGCTCCCTGTGTTATTTCCTCTCAAGATGCAGCATTGCCTTTGTAGTGTTGTAAAAATACATGACTAAACAAGTGATTGTGTATGCATGCCAGTTGCCATAGTAGTATAAGTTAAAACATCAGAGCACAGGGGATTAAGGAATTCTTTGAGGCAGTTGTACAGATATCTATAATTATAGCTTCTACAGATGCCCCATCTTGGCTCTGAAATGTTTTGGATTGAAGAAGCAAATGGAATGATTTTGAAATATGCACAAATTAGTAGCATTTTTCTTAACATAAGGTAATGATTTTTGCATTGGCTTTTCTCTGTTAGATCTTTATTAGATGTTAATGTTATGTTTTTTATTCTACAACCTGAGAATCCTGATGAAAATGCTGGGATTGTTATGAGTGAATACATGAAGTTATGTGGTGGAGGAAGGAAGAGTTTGCTTAAATTACAAAGCAAAGTCGCTTAACAAGTAATCTCCAGAGGAGTTAGGAGATGGAGAAAGTTGGAATGAAAGCCAGAACAAAGGAGAGAGAGAGAGAGAGAGAGAGAGAGAGAGAGAGAGAGAGAGAGAGAGAGAGAGAGAGAGAGAGAGAGAGAGAGAGAGAGAGAGAGAGAGAGAGAGAGAGAGAGAGAGAGAGAGAGAGAGAGAGAGAGAGAGAGAGAGAGAGAGAGAGAGAGAGAGAAAGAAAGAAAAGAGAAGGGGGGGGGAGAAAACAGTTCAAACTTTGCACATAAAATGACTTAGTAGCAACTTATCAAAATATTTCACAAAAATTTGCCTCTTCTGTAACCCCCCACCCCCACCCGAAAAAAAAAAGATTAAAACAAAAAAAAGAGAGAAAAAGTAAATGTTGCTGTATTCATGTGGTGCTTATTGATACATAATGGTTTAAAGGATTGAGACAGATTTTTATCTATACTTTTATTTTTTCTTCTCAATCTTTATACAGCAAATTACAGTAAGAGAAATTTGAATCCTCTATAATAGATTCCTCAAAATTTATTATTGATTTCCACAGTATAATTCATAACATGATTAAAACTTGTAATATTAGTCATTTAATGGGATAAGTTTTTTTCTTCTTACTGAGATGATTGACAGATTAGAAATAAAGTATGATTAGAAACATATTGGTAAATCTGCTAGACAAGAGTAAAGGCACAGATATAGTAGCATTGACAGTAATGAATGTTTTTAAGAGTGTGTGTAGGAGTAAATAGTAATGGTATTATTGGAAAATCCTTTTACTTGATATATCTGTATATGGTAACTGTCATCAGGATTTTTTTTTTTTTTTTTTTTTTTTTTTTTTTATAAAGCTTCAGTCCATTTTCTTCTATATCTCTTTTTAACTCATTACTATTCAACTGTTATATTCATGTTGGCACTTTTTGTGAGGTGCATATTCTGAGTACATGATTGTAAAAAGATGTTTTTTCATAGACTGTAAGCAGTACAATCAATAGCCCAAGGATGCCATACATTCAGAAAAAAAAGCACAAAGTAAGAACATCAATCTGCAAAGCTTAGCAAGAGTCCTTATAGTAAATTACTGACAAGTTGGTCTCACTGAATTCCGAAATGCTGTACAAAAGGACTGCAGTTTAAGCACATAAAGTTCTTATGGTCTTTGTCTCAGGGCAAGTTCATGTTGTGATTAAGGATTTGTGTAATGATTTCTGGCGCTTCAATGTTCGCAGTTCGTTGCCCATTGAGAAGCCACAGAAGCAGTGCTTGGTGATACAGAATTAATATCAGCTGTTATGTAGTTCTTCCTCTAATGTGTTAGTGTCTTATGATAGGTATACCATTATAACTGTTATCCTAATGTATTTTTGAAGCTCCTACAAATGAATATTCATCACATATATTTTGATGGTAAGTTTCAAGGTGACTAACTGGTCTGTGAAAATCAAATCAGACAAGGATTAAGGAATGAGAATGATTATACTTTTGATATAACTACAAAGTGAATCTTAAGATGTAAAGATCGTGCATTTAATTTGGTCATATGATTTATATTTCTTCAAGTTGATTATTACAAGTCAGATTTTAATGCATTTAATACAAAGCTGAAGGTAATGCATTCAGGTTTTTTCCTTACTCTGGTAGATATACATTGTGTGTACTGTTTTTTGTTTTTGTTTTTTTTCAATGTAATTTTCTTTCTGAATTAGTAAGTAGTAAGACTTTGGTTAAAAAAAATACATGATATAAGAAAACTGAACTACATAATTTTGGCTGTTTGAAATCAGGAATGGGTTAATCAACATTTAGGTAATAGATATAACATAAGTGTCTTGATATAAATAAGTTTGACAAGGAAATGGTTAATGTTGATAATGTTAACGT